AAACACATTTCTGTCCAGTTTGCTCTCTATGTACACATGAACAATGACACATGCTATATGGTATTTGCTCACACCTTCCTCCCCCCACATATTGAGCCTGTTCTGCATGAACTTTATCTAAAAGCAAAAAAAAATTGTCAGTTAGCAAAGAACTCACCCGAAGTAGTCTGAATGGTGTAGCACATCTGCTACCTATGACATGGAGGTCAGAAAATAACCTCGGATAAATTTTACACTGTGGTTGAGAACATGACGATGCCAGGTCTGCTGGAGAGGGTGGGCCCTGGGACAAACTTGCCCTGCTGTTACTTGCAAATACTTAACAACTGATCCTAACTGAATCACAGAGCTTCCTTTTGTTTTTAAACAACTCAAAAGTAAAATATATGAAAATACAATTATCAGCACTATTCCAAATAAAAACAGGCACTGTCACTTCATAGATTTTCAAATCAGCATGTTACTGTCTTGGTGACTATGTTTGAGCTTACACAAATAGGAGCTGGTATCAGCAGAATGCTGTATTTCTTCAGAAAGTGCTTCTGGTTTTAGAGTAATGCTGGCACTGGTCTAGTAACTTAGTTGAAAGTTGCGTTTTATTTTTCATTTGTAACAGGTAACTTGTTACACATTAAACTGTTCCTTTTAAGAAAATTGGGCAGTATGTGCAATACAAGCAGTGAAGGCCTAGGGAGCCTGATGACAGGACCACTACAGTAAGTCTCCCACAGTCAGGCAGTTTTTAGAGTTTCATTATAGGAACTCTGCACACAATCTTGCTAGCTGTATTTAAGGCAACAGCTTAAATTGTGGTGTATAAATCACAACACCTCATTAGCAAAGTTTCTTGCCTTCCTATAACTTACTTCTTTTTTAGGAAGGAAGTCTGAAAGTCAATTATAATGACTTTTTACTCTTGAAAGAGATAGAAGATAGAAATATGATGTATGCATTGTAGCATGCTGAGACTGACCAAACCAGCCAATTTCACATACTTCTGAAGTGCATGCATTTCTTGGCCCTTTACTAGAAAACTACGCCTGGAGGATTCCTTAAGTGGAGAACTTTTTCTGCTGAGAAAAAACAATAATGTCCTTTTTTACTACTCTTGCCTATCTGCCAGGTGTCTAGCAAAAAAGAGCTTTTTAGAAGTGGGACTCCAGCATACACATTTTTGAATGCCAGACTCTGTCCTCACATGCGGCAGTGTCATCACAGAGATGAGTACGCATGCTACTGCAATCAAAGACAAAAAAATCACATATAAGATACTCTTTAAGGTTATTCCTTCAACTACTTAGGAATGGCTCAGAAAATGGTTCATATATGTTACCTTTTTTACTTGTTGCATCCCACTGCACATCCTGGAGTTCCATAAGGATTGACACATATGTTGGTAGCAGAAAAAAAGGAAAAAATACAATAATGAGGCTAAGTGCTTCACTGTACATCACATCACAAACGTTGGAAGTATCACCCCTTTAGAACCAACTTTGTGTAGCAGCTTGGAAAGCCATGGTGAACAGTTCCATCAATTCAGTCACGGTTGTTTCCAACACTAAAGAACCGTAAATTAATTAATCCACTGCATACAAGCAGCCTTGTGAAGGACAGTGTTTTCTCATTTGTTTGTTTTTTAAAATCAACATTTGTTTTGTTTACATGAAAAAACCATACTGCTACTGGAATTAAAGTCAGCTGGTTGTTTCCAGCTGAGACTATCAATAGAGTAAGTCCAAGAATCAGAGCACAACTAACAACTCAGCTGCTACTGAAAGTTTGAATGTAGTTCAGCCAGTTCCTTAGAGAAGTCTTAGCTCGCCAAGGCTGGCTGGAGTAAAAGTGTAACTTAGCAAGTACACTGCAAAGTACAGTGAAACAGATAAGAAAATACATAACAAACACCCAAAGTTCTTACATAAAAGTGGCTTTCCACATTAAAATGTTACTGTTTGTTTGAAATTTTGTATGTTTAATATGAGCCCTGATATTAAAGAAACTTGAATTTTAGCTATTACAAATTTGCAGTTAATTAAAAAAAACAGGGACATTGTGAAGCAATATCTGAAGAAATCTTCCATAAAATTCATCTTTAACCAGAAAAAACCCCTGTCAATTACAGAGAATTATAATAGAAGATTTAACATTAAAGTCTGTAATCCTTAGTTACAAATGAACAGAATTTCAAGGTATTCCCTACAGCAAGTTTGTAAGAACAGAGAAGATCACATAAATATTTCCCATTCCTG